CCTGCTCCTGAAAGTAAAGCTCATTCAGTTATTCAGAGACCTCTAAAAGAACTACTATCTGCACAGAAATTATGGTAGCCAATCTGGTATTTTTGAATAGCAAAGAAGTATTTTTTAAAAAGTAAAAATAGTTTCATAATGTGAATCAGCCTCAAGACTCATTTCTAATAGTTTGTGTCAAAAACCTTGTAGGTTTCCAGAAAAGGTCTCAAATGTGACAGGTAGTTACTTTCAGATGATAATTTTTGTACTTTGATACTGAATATAGCTGTTCATGAATCCAATTACAAAACCTCCATTTATATAAGAAAACTATCTATTTCAATGTATTATGCAAACAGCATATCACATTTTTGCTATTTGATGAGTAAAGCTGCAATTGAAATATGCTGTTTATCATAAAATTAATATAATGAAGATCCTTTATCATCTTCAATATTTCATAATTTGCCTATGAGTTTTAAGCTAAATTTCATCATAACATGTATCCAAAAAGCCCCTCATCCACCCCACCCCAATTCCAAAAAAAAGACTCAGAATGAAGTTGGAGTATATTTAAAACACATGCTGGAAATATTGACAGTGCTTTTCATTTTACTTCCTTTAATGACTTTCTACTTCTCAGACATGTAATAGGAATATGTTAATATTCCCCTCATGTCTAGTGCCAGAAAGATACTTTCCATTGTGCTATTCTAGAACTAATTCTGATGGCTTAAAACACCTCTGTTTCCTTCCTCATATACTAATTACATTTGTGTTTTTACCTGTTGTCAGGACAGGAAAAATATTAAGTCACTATTTTCATTTATCACTGTTGAAATCCTATGGAAGATACAAGCTCTGTCTCTTTCCATAGTCCCAATATTTAAGTTTGACAAAGTTGACGAAAAAAGACTATGTAAAATGCAGTACACTGGAAGACTGCAATTTTCCAAAACGTTGAAGTTGTTCCCTGAATAGCGCTACTCACAACACCAACATACTCTTGTAATGTTCCATTTCATCTACAAAATAGCAAACATTAGCATCTTAATTTTATTGTTCACAAAGCAACGTCTTCAGAATGTTACAAATAAAAAGTGTCCCAAAAATCACAATGAAAGTGTCCTTATTACACTTTTAGAATGCCTGTATTATAAGAACTGAAATCAGGTGCCTGTGTTCAGCTTTTATCTCTGTTTTCACATAGCTTCAGTTTTATTTCTATAGTCCTGAAATACGCAGATGGTTAAATGAAGAGATACAGATTAACTCAGTATATCTCCATTAAGAGATCTTCATTAGGAAGTACTTTTAAGTTTAAAGCCTTTCTCTTCTGGAGTTTTAGATATTTCCATTCATATTGCAACACTGTTTGAGTTGCGCCAATTACCACAAGATAATAACAATTACATTTCTTTAGCTATAGAATACATTTCAGCCAAGTATTTGAGAATTTTAACACTGTTATTTTCATTTTATTATTATTATTTCAGTGCATCTGTAGTCATACAGCAATTCCTACACAGTACCTTAATTTTTTTTTCATCCATAGATCTCTGAATACGTTGTCTAAGAGGTTTTGGAGAAGATCCATTGGATTGTGCTGGAGATCTATATTAAAGAGAGATAAGTATTTAGAACACGTAAGAGCAATTACTTAAGAAAAATAGGAACTTGATATGGTAACTCAGAAACAGGAAGGCAGGTATCTTCACTCTTCAAACCTTACTTTGTTTTCTCCCTTCTTAACTAACCACATGTACTGTGACAACTTAAGACAGCATAATGAAAACAAACCTACAGTTCCAATTTATGGTATTATTTCGCAGTTCGTTTACAATATTGTAAACAATATTGTAGCCACAGTACACAGCCACAGTATTATTATTTGTAAGTCCGGTGATGAATTACCAAGTCACCATTCTACTTATACCCCCTTGAATAGCATCTGGTTGGCATCCAGAATAATTTTCCTCATATTAACACACTTTTCAATAGAAGTACTCACAGTAACAAAATGCTTCCACCCTCCTATATTTCAGTATATGACTAGTTACATACATTGATGAAAAAAATTTTATGCATACAATGCAAAAAATTATTGATGCATATGAGAAAGGATTTTTTGGTCTTGAAATAAGAACTAATCTGCATCTGTAAATAATTACTTCTGTTTATACTTATGGCACACCAGTGTGTATATGAGGACAGTTTTTTAAAAAATAAGTCATTATTTTATTTGTTTAGCTCACTATTCAATTATTCCATAAATAAAATTTATTTTATTTAACTCATTATTTATTTCTATTTGTCTGTGGTGCAAAATTTCTGCAGGTCTTTGCAATGGTTTTGCTATTTAAATTGCAAAAATATGTAGCTTCAGCATGCTCCCATCTACACTGTTTTTCTGGTTCATGAGTCTTCTTTGTAACCCATAATGACAAAATCATCAGCATCCCACTTTTCCAACAACTGATGATTCCTCAAGGATAAGCGACTGATTAAATCATCACTGCTTCTCCAGTCCATGGATAGGTTAGTTTCCTTTTCAGCACCCACAGAAATGGGTTTTCAAGAGATTCTTTGTTTTGTACACCAGTTCAACATGGGTATTCCTTAAACAGAAGGAAACTTTAAAAATCAAGAAAAGAAATGAGTAAGAAGCAACGATTGGCTTTAACATTCATAGGATAGGAAGATGATGGGAACGATATGAAAACCAGCAGCAAATAAAAAGTTGCCCCAAACTCTGAATACCTGTCGAACCTGCAAAAGCAAAAAAACCCCCGTTTATTGCAGAAAGTTATGAAAAATACTTGATCTATGGTGATGCAAAATTTAACTCTAAAACATAAATAATATCAATAAATAAATTGATATACATTTGTATATCAATATGCATTTGTATACCACAAATAAAACCCATCTTAAGTTAAAGAGTTACGTAAAAAAAAAAAAAAGAAGATTTCTAGCTCTGAATAATAGCAGAGTTTATTTCTGAATAATTCAGGTGGGCCTTGATTCTATTCACACAGAGCATTAACTTAAATCTGATTAAGTTTCTTTTCATTCTGATAAAAATACAACCATGGTGACATTTATTACTTTTTAAATTGTTTCATTAATTTACTGTGGATCAATTTTCCTGAATCTGAAGTAGTGGAGAAATAAAAGACAGAAATCAGGGGTTTTTAAGCTTGTTACATAATGAAATATAAATGTATAGCTACAGCTATCCACAAATATTTGGGAGGTGAAAGAAATATTCCACAATATGTTGTTACAAGATGCCTTTTACGTTAAAGATTATTCCAGGTTTATTTAGAATTCTTACTAGTGAAACTAATCTTTTAAAGTTTCATTAGAATATGCTCATTCCTTTGGTTTCATAAAAGGTCAAATGATAAATCTAATGGAACCCTTAAATTCTTTGACTTTTAGGATACTCCATCTTCCAATTTAGGACCTATCACTGTTTTTCTTTCCTTGCTGTTATCCTCGCAGCCTTGTACCTGCACACTCTAACAGTGTTGTTATGGTGGACTCTCACAGGAAACAACTGCCACCAGCATAAGAAACACCTCCTTCTTCCCCACTTTTCCTACCCTTTTCATTGTAGCTCTTTTATTTTAGGGAACCTAAAAACATGCATGCACAGAGCTTAATAAGCAACTGTCCACGCAGCCTCTGCTCTGAAGAGCAGAAGCTCCAGTCACCACTAAAGGCACCAAAAGCAGGGACAACCATAAAGGGGTTTGAGCCCGTCCTTATGAAGACAATAGTTACCCTAGGAAAAGCACATTTGGGAACCAACCACTGTACTACAGAGAATGCTTGCCTGGGAACCCTGGCAGCTTTACTTCCCAGCTGGCCACCAGGCAGTTTTCTCTTCCCTCTCCTCTTCCTCTTTTAATTTTATTCTTCCTCAAAAGCAACTTTCAACATTAGAGTCAATCTATGCCATCAGCTACAGACCCTACTAATAAATCTTCAAGCATGTGAATTTGTTTCAATATACTTTGTGCAATACTATCTTGATTGGTAAATCATGTGGTACTTCACGATATGGTTTAGTGGGCATGGTGGTGTTAGGTTGGTGGTTGGACTCGATGATCTTAAAGGTCTTTTCCAACCTTAATGATTCTGTGATTCTACTTAAACTATTTAAAACTGTCTCCACAAAATAATTAGTATGTAGGAAGAAAACAGGATATAATCCACAAATCTCTTGTGTCATAGCTAGACAAAGGAGGCATCTTCAAATTGAATAGTAATCTAATTAGCTACTGAACAGACAGTATTTGAACCCAGGAGTTTAAACTTAAGAGGTGAGTATATGGGTGATTTGTTGCAAAGGATATTCCTTCATGGGTTTTCTGCATCCCAGAAAAGTACTACCTCAAAAAGTCCATATTACAAAAGTATCTTGAAAATACAGAAAATGCAAATGAGGAGGTAGAATACTTTTGAGAACTTGAGGCTGTTTTAAGAATGCTTTCCCTTTACACCTAACCTCACAACAGACTGTACTTTGGTCATTTGCTTTGTATTAGTAATATCAATGCTTTGTTAGCCACTCAGTATATGACCTTTAAAAGTAAACACACACAACACAAACACAAAAACCCTTCTAGTACTCACCTGAAGAGTGTCAAAACAGAGGTGACTCCAAACAAGTTTAAGCTTTCATCATCATATAATAGTTCCGCTTTGTTCTGGGTAGGAGGATTGACAGCTTCCTCATCCAGAAGAGCTAGTAAGACCTTTATAGTATCTCTGCCACAATACGCAGTGCCATGATTTATGGAATGCAATTTCGGCTGAGAGTAAATAAAATTAAAAGGAACATACAATAAGAAAGGTCAGCAAGCCAAACCAATAGCTCACCTCCAAAGGCACCCATATCAGCATAAGGTGTGAGAATCCCCTCCTTCCCTTTCACAGTAAGCATTTATGGGGAACCTGCCCATGGGAAAGTTCCTTCCTCATTCCAAGATCACTGCCAGCTGGAGGTATACATTGATGAGCAAGTCACACAGATAAATATTAAACTCTGTGATGAAACCACACAGCAGAAATTAACATATTATTTTCTCACAACCAATTTGAGTGCTATGGGGTACACAAATATATTCTGGTGAATTCCAACTCCTCTGACTAACTGAATCTGCTAAAGCAGTTGGTTAAAAGTGAGATTTCCATCAAGATTTGACAACAGCGGTACTTGGCACAATCTCCTGTTGTTTGGAACAGGATTAATTCCTCATGATTTTCCACAAGAATAAAGAATTCCTTAAAGAAAATAATAATCCACATCTGGAAGTGCTCAATGCTACAGTCAGCAGTACAGATGTAGAACTCCATAGCCACTATGGGACTGCAAGAATTGCAAGTTTGTTATATATTTCTTTAAAAGTAGTAGGAGTTCCACAGAGAAATTTAGTGCTTAATACACAGTAGCATATTTTAAAGACTATAGGCTTTCTTATTTACCAATACACAGAAACACTGAATAGCCTGACTTTGTTCAGAAGGACCTGAATCAGGTCCTAAATCCTAAATCTGCATTTATCTAATCAGTTAACTGCTTTTAAACACAGTCTTGAAAAGATCAAATTCTATTTCTCTCTCTATTTGATTACATCAATTAGTGTATGTAGCTTTCAAGAAACCATAGCAACACATCAGTCAGTTACTATAAGTTATAATCAATAGCTAGAAATAGCAATTACAGAAATGGTTATTACTTGGCTTTACAGAATTGGCCTATTTCTGTACCATTTAATTTCCTCAGAATTTATTCTGAACCTCTTCAGTCATTACATCACTGCACCACAGATTTTTATAAAGTGTCATGTGTGTCACAGTAAATTTGTCTCAATGATGAAAGTACAAATTTGGCATCATCTTGACTGATTATACACAAAGGAAAAAAATAATCTTTAGAATATAACATAATCTCCTAACTGCCAAAAGATGACCTTCAGAAATCTTATGTACTACAACAAGAGTGACTTGGTGTACTAACTATGGACTAAAAATCCTATTGTCCAAGGCACAGTAAGAACCGAAAGCAAGACAACAATCCCTGCCTTAAAAGTCTTGTTTATTAGTAAGCTTAAAATCAATGATTCAAATTATTTTTTTCAAGAAAATAGTTGATCAGTCTTTCAAGGGTAGTGACCATTAGCTACTCCAGACTATGCTGGTTAGTTCCAGAAATACCAGCCAGACTTCATTTACAGTAGTAATTTTTTCAGGAAGAAATTAATCATAATTCCTCTTAGTCACTCGTGCAGGCTTCAACACAAAGTAGTGTTTCCTGCTGCAGAAAGTAATAACTTTTCCTGGAGCTCTAGATTCTTATAAAACAGGTATTTGCAGGAAAACTGAGCAATGATGGAAGAAAACTGCCACAGCCAGGAGAAAAGCAAATATTTTAAGAGAGTAACTCTTTTCAGGTACATTTTATGAGGAAGCAGTCTTCCCAGGAGCTAGTGGACACATCATTTTCAGCTCTAAAATCAAGATCATGTTTTAAATTTGTACTCAAAGAAATTATTCAATACGTATGGAAAAAACCACAACTTCCTAACAAAACTAGATTTTATTCTGAATATAGAACAATTTTTCTGAAAAACTATAGCATCAGGGTTTGGGGGTTTCTTCATAAAGTAAAAAACAGAACACACATGCTATGTGTGAAAGTCAGCACAGGGCATTAATCTTTGCTGTCCTGAGATCTTAATGGAACAATACAGATGCTCTTTTATATATATAGCTCAAATTCACTTGGAAGACGTATAGGGTTTTTTGTTTGTTTTTTAATTAGTAATGGTAATGTACCCCTCTATATGCTTCGTAAAATGTTCTTCCACACCAAGCTCCACTAAAATAAGCAATTTGATATCAGCCTCTTAACATTTGTCTAATCTCCCTTTTCCACTCCTTGACTCTGTGAATCACATATTTAAGAATTATCATTAAAAATATAGTATTCATCTCTCAATTTTCACAAACTTCATTTACATCAACAAAAGAACTCCCCACACCAAAATCAAAATAGCATCATCACAACACCAAAGGCAGACAATTTACACACACTCCACTCTTTATTCCTTCACAACAATTACAGAGACAAAAATTCCCCATACTTATTCCACTCTAGCAATGTTCAGTCCACATTTTCCCTGTTACCTGTCCCACTTACTGTCCTTATCTCTAATTCCTCAGGCCCCATATTGGGCACCACAAAAGACTGTGGTGGGTTGCCCTTGGCTAGCCACCAGGTGCCCACCAAGCTGCTCTATCACTCCCCCTCCCCAACAGGACAGGGAGAGAAAATATGATTAAAAGCCTGTGGGGTCGAGATGAGGACAGGGAGTTCACTTGCCAATTACCATCACGGGCAAAACAGAGTTGACTTTAAGGAAATTAATGTAATTCATTGCCAATTAATCAGAATAGGACCTCTCCCTTCTTCCCACACTCAGCTTTACTCCCACCTCTTCTACCTCCTTCCCCCAAGTGGCACAGGGGGATGGGGAATGTGGGTTGTGGTCAGTTCTTAATGCTTTGTCTCTGCTTCTCCTTCCTCATGCTCTTCCTCTGCTCCTGTGCGAGGTACCTCCGATGGGATAGTATCATTCACAAGCTTTTCTAGTGCAGGTCCTTCCCACAGGCTGTAGTTCAAGAACCACTCCAGCATGGGTCCCCCATGAGGTCACAAGTCCCACCCAGAAAACCTGCTTCTGCATGGGCTCCTCTCCATGGGCTACAGTTTTGCCTGGAACCTGCTACAGTGTGGGCTCTCCATGGTGTCACAGCTTTCTTCAGGGCATATCCACCTGCTCCAGCATGGATATCTGCTCTACTGCGGAGCTCCATGGGCTGCAGAGGAACAGCCTGCATGGTCTTCATCATGGGCTGCAGGGGAATCCCTGCTCTGGTGCCTGGTGAACCTCATCCCCCTCCTTCACTAACCTTGGTGTCTGCAGAGTTGTTAACTCTCATGTACTCACAACTCCTCTGTCCCAACTGCTGTTGCGCAGCATTTTTTACCCTTTCTTAAATGTTAGCACAGAGGCACTACAACCATCACTGATTGGCTCAGCTTTGGCCAGCAGTGGGTCCGTCTTGGAGCTGGCTATAACTGGCTCTGTCTGACATGGGTGCAGCTTCTAGTGATAGTATCATTCACAAGCTTTTCTAGTGCAGGTCCTTCCCACAGGCTGTAGTTCAAGAACCACTCCAGCATGGGTCCCCCATGAGGTCACAAGTCCCACCCAGAAAACCTGCTTCTGCATGGGCTCCTCTCCATGGGCTACAGTTTTGCCTGGAACCTGCTACAGTGTGGGCTCTCCATGGTGTCACAGCTTTCTTCAGGGCATATCCACCTGCTCCAGCATGGATATCTGCTCTACTGCGGAGCTCCATGGGCTGCAGAGGAACAGCCTGCATGGTCTTCATCATGGGCTGCAGGGGAATCCCTGCTCTGGTGCCTGGTGAACCTCATCCCCCTCCTTCACTAACCTTGGTGTCTGCAGAGTTGTTAACTCTCATGTACTCACAACTCCTCTGTCCCAACTGCTGTTGCGCAGCATTTTTTACCCTTTCTTAAATGTTAGCACAGAGGCACTACAACCATCACTGATTGGCTCAGCTTTGGCCAGCAGTGGGTCCGTCTTGGAGCTGGCTATAACTGGCTCTGTCTGACATGGGTGCAGCTTCTAGTGTCTTTCCACTGCAGCCCTCCCCACTACGAAAACCTTGCCACATAAACCCAAATCAGCCCTTGATTTGTCAAGATAAGCAGCACATCAGTCAGTCATCTCTGATGGCTCTCAGGTACATCCATACTGTGGTGAGTATGGTGAAAAGGATTAGGTTAAAGACCATCATCCTCTGCTATGTACTCAAGTTTCCTCATGGAGAAAAACTATAGTAGAATCTGCCCATCCACAAGTAGATGGGATGTTCCAGCAATCAATTAAGTTAAACTCAAGAATTGGCAAAAACTTCAACATAGAACCACAGGCCCACAGTAATATAATTAAGTTCTTAAGCTGCCCTCAGGTGCCCATTTTGAGAAAAATATTAACTTCACAGTGCTCTCAATGGGATTAAGTATTTAACCACTTTTTCCAACAACATCAGGATACAACCATCTTTGCTATCTTCTGCCTCAACAAGGATACTAGTGAACACTTCTACAGAGACATTGGACTATGAATTTGATCTATGGAGATCAATAAACACAAACCATTTTGGAAAAGCAAAGTTTTTGTGAATTTCTCTGAAGAATGGAGTTTCATAAAAATAGTTTTACATAGCTTATAATGATCTAAATTTTTACAAATTTTATTGGTAACACAAGTATGTAAAGACAGAACTGATAACAGTGATCAATTTTTCAGATGAGGAAGAGAAAGAAACAGAAGTATATGAAAGGGAAACAGGGAAATACAGTGATGAAAGATTCAGAGGAAACAGGAAAATGAGGATCAAATATGCCAACTGCTCAGTGGAAACACACATTTAAACCAGTTCAACTAGCCACTAGGGTCTGGCTGGTTTTAGGTCTCATAGAAAAGAGAAAGCATATTGGAAGTCTGATTAAAATTTGTTAAACATCTTATGTTACCATGGTATAATTCCAGTGATTTCATAAAACAAAGCATTCTAACAAATGTACACACATTCAAATTGTCTCTAAGCTTTAAAAAGTTTCCTAGACAAAGATACATGACACTAGATATTTTATATATCAACAACGTAAAATAAAATAATTAAAGCTGGTTGATGTTTTCATCACAAAAAAGATCATAATATGAACCTGAGTAGATTCAAAGTACAGAAACCACAAAAACAAAGCCTGTATTCTGGTCTCCACACCTGACTTAAAGAACTTTACATATCCTATTCCTTCCATGAAATTAAAATCATTAGTAGTTTCATTAGTGTCTTGAAATGCTGAAAGAGAAAGACTTACACGTTGATTGTTTAGGGTTTTATTGTTATTCCCCTCCCACTCCTTATTTCCCCATGTTTTAGACTTTCATATTTAACCGTATTTTGAATGTCTTACCCTTACAAATACTTGACCCTGAGCTAATTAAAATCTGCGTATTTTAATCAAAATTACGAATCCATAGTCCCAAATCTGAATTCCACTCCATGATTTTTTTTGTTTGGAAATTTGTTATAGTTCTACTGCCTTGAAATTAGGGGCAAACCTGACAGTTTAAGTATCTTTGTCTGTAACAACTGCACAAAAAAATTAAGTTTTGAAGAGTATTTTATTTACAATTTTGAGGTAAGAAGTTTAGTCTAAGTAAATCAGCTTTTTGAAATGCACACTATAATCCTCAAGTATAAGTCTTTCAACAAGTTTAAAACCATAGCGTAAAAGAAATGACACTATTCTGTACTGTTAGGAAAAGATAATACTCTATATGAAGTCCTTTAAAAATAGAAATAAACAGAACAGGCAAAAGACATTTGCTTTCTTGTAAAGCTAAATACTAAAAAGAACAAAAGAAGTCCCATTACCCGTGCTGGACTGACTCCAGTAGTGCTGGCAGTCAAGACTTCATGTTGTGAATCGATAATATTTTTAATCTTCAAATCCAAATCTTGTACAACTTCCTCTACTGCCCGACAGAAAGGATCCCCATTGCTTCGGCCTTTTATCAAATGCATCTTCACTGTTGACAGAATTCGCCCCCCTGCAATTCTGAAAATAGGCACAGGGTCATCTCCACATTAATCTTGGCAGCATTTTAGTATACCTATTAGTGTTGAACATAGCTGGTCTTCGCAGTTAATCAAAAATCTTCAGAGAACAGCTTTGATCTTTTAAATCCAACAGCAGTGTAGAAGTATTGTCCAACATAATAGTTTGCTAAAAAAAAGATTATAAGGAAAGGTAATGAATTCAGCATTTAGTAATACTCTGAGATGCAACACAAAATTAACGTCTCCATAAAAGTTCAAAGAACAGTATTTTCTTTAAACCTACAGTTATTGTTTTGCTTATAAGCTGTTAAGTGTAAACAAAATGTTCTACTGGAACATGCATTCCAATTCAACAGCCTATTAGATTTTTGAGTCTTTTGTGCTTCATGAAAGCATTTCAAAATATCAATCTGCTTTCAATTTTATTTAAATAAATAGTAATTAGACTAGATGAACATCACTGTTTGCCATAAAGGAACACACTATTAATCTCTTCTTTCATCAACTAGAAAAAATGCCTACAGAAAAAAACTTAGTAGTTTTATTAAGAAATGTCCATGCAGTTTGACATAAAAAAATACAAATAATTGAATCTGATATAGAGGCTTTATTTCAACCCTTCTTATAGAAGGATAAGAAAGCATTTATGAGTACACCTAAAGTATGTTTAGACTTAATTTCATTTCATGGTCCTGTACCTTGAACCATCCACACTCCATATATGATAGACTACTTTTGGGATCACTTTTGGATTAGAACTACCAGGTCTCTCCCCAGTGAAACTCTTGAGTGATAGGCAGTTACAGTTCTATAGATGATGCCCCAATAGGCAGTATTGAGAAAACTACACCATGTCTTGCTCCCTCAGACTTGCAAGACGCACATGTTCTATAAAAATGGAAATATAATAGGTTGCCAAGTAGACCACATTAACCTGAGGATGTAAAAGAAAAAAAACAAAACAAAAAAAAACAAAAGAAAAAATAAATCCTTGAAGAATTACAAGAAAACCCAAAGATCTTGTGTCCAAAAAATGGCTAGAGACTGAGGCTCTTGTGACAGTGCTGATGATTTACCCAGACCTGGTGAAATGAGAAGCAGTTACAATTCTAAGAATTCCACTGGCCATTCATAAATGCATCTTTCCACTCAGGGGTTGAAAGTGCTGCCCTGAACAATGCTGCTCATAATTAATAAAATACCTTAAAGCTTATAAGAGTGAGCATAATGCCATCACAACAATGGAAAATCCAAGTGTTAGGAGTGAATTGCTCATTTCACAAGTGTAATGTGTGGTGAGTAGGTGCAAAGGCCATATGGAGGTATGAAGGTAGGAATCACTAGTCATGAGGCACTGCTATGAACTATAACTATGAACCAAGTTAAGTAAATTAGCTAGGGGATCACAGATCTTATCTCAGAGATGATCAATAACTATATTGAGACAGCAAATGTGTCTTGACTACTTTAATGAAGATTTTGTGAAAGACAATAAATCCCTTGAGTTAAAAGCTTAATAATTTTGTTCAATACCTACGCAAAACATTAAGTAAAAACCTTACAAGAACTCATCTCTGCTACCTCATAATGCATCTCTTCCCAAAAGCTTTTTGAAGTTACATGCTGTTTGGAAACTTTATCATTAATTCTCCAGTCTTCTCAGAATATGAACCCATCATCCAGACTGACAAAGCTGATTATAATCAAGATTCGCTTCACCCCACCAAGCAATTATTTATCTTCTGTTTAATATCATGTTATATAAGGACTTCATTATTTCCCCATGACATTGTGTCTTCAATTTCATTCTCTTTCTGTTTATTTTCTTCAACCTTTTCAGAATGTGGTAGTCTATATTTTAATTTTAGCTCTAATTTATAAGGGCTTTTAATTGATTTCCTCCCCTTTTACTTTTCATGTACAGAGTTATTTTCACCTTTGAATACCAGATAACATGTGTAAGAATAAAAGAAGAAATAAAATAATAACAACAGGCACAAAGGACCCATTTTTTAAAAAAACCTGATGCTCAGGAAAAATGGGTAGAACCCTGTGTTCAGAAAATATCCTGAACTGAAGTTAGAGATTGAGACAGATCTCAGGAAGTATTATAAACATTTTCTCTGTTCTTAAAAGGCATGTATTTATTGCCAGTGTTGGAGACAAGATCCAGTGCTTGTAGACCCTTATTTTTAAGTTGTACAATCACATTTCATAGTCTTAAAATAACATAAGATTCTCTGCAGTGACAGTAGTGTCTCAAAAAAATTAAATGAAAACAAGAAAAAACCCCTAGCCTTCAAGTCACCATGTTTTTGACAAAAAAATTCCAATGAAGTTAGATATGTTTGCGATGCTAAGTTCAGTTATGAGATTGATTTTCTGTCTTCTTTGTTTTTAATAGAGCTTAAGTATAACGCCAGGCAAAAGGAACAAAAGAAATTCTGTTCATTCTGAGCAACCTGGTCTAGTGGAAGGTGTCCCTGTCCACAGCAGAGGGGTTGGAACTAGATGATCTTTAAGGTCTATTCCAACCCAAACCATTCTATGAACTCCTGCTCTAAGAATTTTTTCCTTTACAATCAATCTGCTTCACGATCTATTGTAACAATCCATCTTTCCTTTTCAATTAACCTGGAGTTTCTTTTTTCCAGACTAAAAGAAACACTAGCCACTTTTCTGCAATATCTAATAATTGGATAGGATGGCCAACATCAGAAAAGGGTAGCCTTGTTAAGTCTTGCCTTTAACAGCAGAATTACTGCAGTTTTAACCCGCCCCCCCCCCATAGTCAGGTTTATAGTCCAAATCAAAGCAGAAATGCAGTATGTTGAGTGTAACCTAACATCAGTCTATCTAGCTCAGACACCAATAGTTTTGATTTGTCTTGTATTAGTATGCACTGCACAAAACGACTCCATGTTTATTCACACACCCTGAACTCTTGAGCTGCTATTGGCATCTACAGTAGAATTTTTAGACACATCTATGATGTTGTAAATCACAGCTCTGCCAAAAAAAAAAAATCCAAAGCAATAGCAATGGCTTTATTACTGACAGATGACATACCCAAGAGTGAGATGACTAAATTTTCAACTTCTTCCATGCTCCTGACAACTTACCCTAAAATGGTATCTTGCAAATTGAAAGAAATGTATATTTTGTATACATTAAATTCTAAAGATTAATTTTAGAATTTTAGTTGGGAGAACCTCCATCAAATGAAACTCCGGGTGTCTACATTCATGTAAAATATAAAATAAGCGGGCAGAGCTAGGTAAGAATAGGAATTGAGTCAGAGGAAAACTAGTTTGCTTATATTGTTTACTGTTAAAATACATGGAAGGAACTGGGCCAGAGGCCTTGCTGGTTTGGCTTATTCTGGCTGAACAAGACTCCTGTAAATAACTTCAGGTTTTCTAAGTTAACTTGAAACAGCGTTGGGCGGGGGGCAGAATTGGCTTTTTTCCAGGTCAAAACCAAATGTTTCCACACAATTCTCAGCTTTAACTTTTAGAGATTAAAGATTATTCAATTCACATTAGATTTGCAGGCTTGGTTAAACAGAAAAACTTGTACTTTGCAGAAATTTAAGCACAGTGTATACACTTAGCCAAAAGAAAAGTCACCATATGAAGTCTCTCTGCACACAGGTCAAGATCATGCAGATCTTAGAAGAGATAGCCTAAAAAAACAAACAAAAAAAGATGCTGGTGTACCTCTGCTTAAAAAAAAAAAAACAAACACAAAACAAAAAAAACCCCACACAATTCAGTCTAGCCATGAGAGAATGAAAATTCAAGGAGAAAAAAAATCATCCAGTGCAAGTTGTCAAGAGGTAAGAAGAAAGCACTGCTGAAGAAAAGTTCTATTTCAGAGATGCATATAGGAACTGTAGCCAAGTCTCCTGATGCTTCTTGCCAGACTGCTTTATTTCCCTCAGCCCTAAACTGACACATTCCAAAATAATACCCTCAAATGAGAAAAGCATTGCATTAAATGAGTAGTATCTGTTCCTTAAATACTGCGCTGAATCTAGAACTCCAAGACAAACAAGCATGTGAAGGGACTGACTGAAGTTGTCTTTGAAGTCCTTTCTGTCTACAGATATCTTGAACTTATCTACATCATTATAATTTCCACACATTTTACATACATATACATATATGTCTGCTGGAAGAAAAAGTATTATTATACATATAGCACTGGGCATCAGTTAATGAAGATAATCATGCCTTTAATTTAAGTGCCATACTCTGTGACTGTATTACTTTGTAGCTTTTCACTGAGAAAAAACCAACAACTGTGATAAAAACATTTTCTACGTTTATTTTTTTGCCTCTACTACCCAATGCCAACTAATGATATTTGCTATAAGAAGTAAAGTTCATTTAATCTTTTTCTGCCCATATTCCTCCTTCTATTCCAAGGAAGAGTTCCAGCCCCCCCCC